TATTACTTTTTTTTTTTTTTTTTTTTGGATATTAAGGTGACCTTTTTGGTCTTTTGATTTTTATTAATCACTTATCAGTATTGTGGTTTAATAAACCACTACAGAAGAGCATACAATTGGCTACACATGTAACTTTTCTATATTACTTATTTAAGAAGTCTGCTTAAAGGTTCCTTACCAATTGCTATATCTAACACCTCTGCTTGGTTGTTCTACTTTAAACCCTCTGAACCTGTAATCTGTATTAACATCACTAGGTTATCCCAGATGCCCAGATCATTGTCTTAATCTTAAGACTAATTTATCCTCAAAGTAAACCTCTTAGAGCCTTCTGTATCTATTTTTACAGCTAATCTAGATATCACTATAGCAGAACCAACACTTGTGATTAAAACTGACCATTAAACCACTATGCCTTTGTAGAGTTCACACAAACCTCAGCATCTACTTTACAGTATATTCGAAATACTTTAGTATACTTCTGCTAATTTACCAAACTTCCAATCCAGATAGCCTAGTAGGACTTATAACCAGTCCATTGGTATATTAGGTTAGCCCAATATTCTTTTTCTTTAGCTCGATCTAGTGGCCTGATTGGTGGTACCTCTTACCTAGAGGTTTTTGCCTATTTAGCTACTTTGACCTTGGTATTCATTTCATGAGGCTAGTCTTTACAGTAGGATTATCGAAGATCTGGTTACCTCTCTACTTGGATCTTTCTAAATAGACTTTTTGTTATCCAATTTCAACAGATTTACATAGCCACAAGAACTTATCTAGTGTTTGTACTATCTAATTGCCAGTTTGTATTTCTTTATGTAACCACAACCTTGTCTTAAAGAACAATATCATGTAACTAGTCATATTAATGCCCTATAACCTACCAGTCATACTAGTGCAACTACTATTACAAGTATCCTAACCCAATCATTAGTAACAGTTGTTATAATATGAATATTACATAGATGATTATAGATCCTTATTACTATTAATTTTATTTGCTTAAAGTATAATGTAATTTCTATTATATATTTATTTATCTTCTTGACAGTACCTATATGTTTTGTTTATTGCTCTTCTATCAGAACTCTTATATCTAAACCTTTTTTTTGTCTTTTGTTTCATTATTTTAATATTCAATTTATCTTTTTATTGTCTTATATATTAAAAATTTTCTCTTTTTTTTTGCAAGATTTATTTCTATAATTTTCAATATTGTAATTCTTTTTTTTTTTGTTAGCTAAGCAGATTTTTAAATTTCAAACTTTGATTTTTAATTTATTAATATTATGACATGCAATTCTTATCTTTTTTTTTTTTTTTTTTTACTTTTCTTTTAATTAATAATCTGCCAGTCATTTGAACAAAGATCATAGTATAACATGATACAAATTACTATATAATTTACTATAAAGAGAAATATAGTATGCACCTATCTAAAACCTTTTTTAATACTAAGTTAACAGTTCAAGTTAATTAATTAAAAGTTATAGAGCTTACTGAGGTGCATCTAATGGTCATTAGATCATCCAAACCAGTCTTGTAAATGTTAAGATATTGTCAAAAAACATTTGATCAATTATATAAAATTCTATACAAACAAATTATTGTTTATATGAAATTTTATATAGAATTTTATATAGTTGATCAAGTGTTTTTTGACAATATCTTGACATTTACTAAACTGATTTGAATGATCTGACTGCCATTAGATGTGTCTCAATGAGCTCTACAACTTTCAATTAATTAACTTTGATTATTAATTTAGTATTAAAAGGTTTTAGATAGGTGCATGCTGCATTTCATTCTATAGTAAATTACATAGTGATCTGCATTATATTACACTATGATCTTTGTTCAGATAACTGGTAAATCATTAATTAATTAGTTTTGTAATACTTCCATATTGACTATCTTTTCTTTTTTGTTTTTTTTTTCTTTTTGATGAAAAATACTGTTCTTTTTTCAAATACTTCACTTTCTTTTTATAAAAAATTTAAGTTTTTTATTTATTCTTATTTGTTTAACTAGGTCATCTTTAGAAGTGATTAGGTTAGGCCTTTTATGCTTTTTCTTTGCTATTTCTAATCTTTTTAGTCTTTCTAGTATTTGGTCTAGTATATCTTCTATGTTTATTGCTTATTTTTATAGTTTCTTTGTGCTTTATGTTTTTAGTTTCTTCTTTTAGTTTTTCTTGTTTTTGAACTGTAGTATTAAATTTCTTCTTGTTTTTTTTTTGTTCTAATAACTTTTGTTTCTTTATTTATTTTTTTTATCTTTTAATTTTATATTATATTTATTCTTAATATAAACTTTTCTATAGTTATATGTTCTTTCTTTGAATTAATAGCTTCTGCTGCTTTCTTTCTTTGTATTTTTTTGTATTTTACTACTACTTCTACTAAGCTTTTCATCTATCTTTCTTGTTTTGACTTTTTAGAACATTAAAACTCTATTATACTAAACTTTTTTTTAGTTATTATATCTAAGTCTGCTTGGTTTTTAAATAATACTATTGTATAGTTTCTTGATTATTAAGCTATCTGGATTGGTAATTTGATCAAAAACTGCTGGTTCCAAGTTGTAACTAGTAGAAGATGATAAAAAATTGCCAAAAAGATAGGTACTAAGGTTTTAGTAAACTTTACAAAGATAAAAATAATATAATATAGTGATTAAACAAATAATTCTTATGATTGCAAATATTAGATAACTATAGTATGTTATATAAAACTAGATTAATATATGTTGAATATAAAAGCTCTAATAAGTTTTCTGTTAAGGATAAACTAGTTCTAAGAGTACTGATTAATATTAAAAACTTGAATGAATATAGTTTTGAAGATATTCTCATGATACAAAATAGATTGTATATGCAGAAGGTTTAAATAGACAAGATCTCTAGTTGGCTTGCAAGTATAACATCTAATATAAAACTTATATAGCAATATATAAGTGAACTACTTAAATTAGGCATCAAAAGTACATGTGTGACTAGTTGTAATCTCCAATATAAGAAAGCCTTTGGAGGTAATCTGTGTTTTATATACTTGAATAAAAATATTATATCTCAAAAATAAGAACTTTAATACAAAAAAAAATAAATAAATAAAAATAAATATAATAGTAACATTTTAGAATAAACAATATTTAAAGTAGTACAATTTTTAGTATTTAACAAAAAAAAAATATTGATTAAATAAAAGGAAATATAACAAAAAAGAGCTATATAAAGTTGATTATATATAAAAACAGCAATTTAAAAATCTAGGCTAATATGCTTTAGTAATTAGCCTTAAGATTTATTTATAGTAATAGCAAATATAATACAAATTAGAAACTGTTTTTATTTAAAAGTAAATAGTAGATTTATTGTCAAAAGTGTCAAAGTAATGTAAAAAATAAAAACTAATTTTCTAGCATAATTTTTACTAAGAATACATGCTTTAATAATATAATTTGTAAGATAACTTACAACTAAATAAGAACTATTGCAAAAATTTTAATAAAAAGCAAAATTGCAAAAAAGAATAATAAAACAACTAATTTTAAGGTCAAGTTTAGAAAATAACATTTCAGATAACTTAAAAGTGTTTAAATACTTAATGAAATATACATTGTTGTTGTTAACTTCATCTTCTATAATAGCACTATTAACACTTAAATATATATGTTTTTCTTCAAAAAACATGTTAAAACAGTATAATTAATATTATGAATATTATTATTGTAAGCAGATAAAATCATTCTATTTTTTAGATATTTATTATTAAGTATTTCTCATTATATATTGAAATAAATTATGTTAATAAGAAATTGTATATTAAGACCAACTTTTATGTATTTAGAGAGTGAAATCATATTATATAGTTTAGAAGTATTTATTTCATTTCCAACCTATGAAAATCAAGTAATAAAGTAATAAATAAGATATAATAAGAGTTTATATCAAAAATTAGTATATGTTATTGCTTTTATTAAAACTTAAAAGCATTAAAATATGCTTACTTTTAAAAAACCAATCAGAAAAGCATCTATTTTCATTTGATTCCATCCCCAAATACTTTTTTTTTTTAAAAAGTATATATATTTACATATTGCTATAGGAGAGAACATTGAAGAGAAGCAGCAACTATTTGCTCTCTCAATTCTTTGATGACAACTGGCAAAATTTGACAGAAATCTCCACCAAATACAACAGTGATTCCTTCAAATGGTTGATGGTTATTCTGAATATCATGTAAAGGGTGATTAACAGCTTCGGCACAGTAACAATATTACATAGGTATTTCGTCCCAAATGATAAGTTCTGTTTGACGGATTAGATCAGCATAATCAGAATTCTTATCAATTGAACAAAAAGAACTTTCATTAATCTCAAGAGGAATTTTAAATGTCAAGTGTACTATATGACCACCGCTAAGTAAGATGCAATACCCGAGGAGGCCACACAGATTACAATTTTGCCTTCACTATGAACCTTCATTGCAAGTGTATTATAAACAAATGTTTTGTCAGATCCAGCAGGTCCGTTTAGAAAAAATAAATTTCCATGTCTATTAGTTAGTCGACTAAGTCAGTCGATTTTTTGAAAAATTGACTTAGTCGATTCGTGTCGGAAAACCAAACTTTAGTGAGTCTTCAACTTAGCCGGCTAAGCCGATGTTCACATAGTCAAGTCGATAAATTAGAGTCGACTACGAACACTAATCGGAACCCTACAGGTTCCAAACCACGATACTCATCTATTCGGTAACAATCTAAACCCATTTATAAGAAATGAGTCGTTGTCACGATGAGCATGAGCCGCATGAACATGAGCATTCTCATGACGGTCCAGATCGCGGAACTGAAGCCTCTCTTTACCCATGTATAGACCGTGAGAATGTTCGTTGTTTAAACGAAAGTGTACCGGGTTCGGGAAAAAATGTCATAAAGCCTTGGCACGAAAGAAATGATATAATTAAGGCTTGTATTAAATGATTTAACGATTGAGGCGAATGCGTTCTTTGCAAATTAAAAATCATTTTATACGTTTACATTGCCAGTTTGTGGAAAGTGACGTCGACGAGCAATTGATTTTATTCATCCCGTTAGTATACTATTGTTTGTTTTTTTGATCAGATATTCCCAAACAATATTTCTTTTTAACAGTATTTTACAATAGTTTCACTGGTAGCGTTAAATTAAAATCAATTTCAATCAAATCGGGTCCTGGAGACAGCTGTCCCTCAAAAATGAAGGCGTATGTTTTTATTTTCTCTGTGATGCATACACATGTATTACTGATTGTATCGATCATTCAGGTATATTAACCGCGAAGATATTGATTTTGACACCGTTGATTCTTACACTGCAACTCAGGAATGGGAATTAATTTCTAACCCGGATAATATTGAATATATTACAAGGTAATTTATTTCACACTATTTCTAATTACAGATGATTTTTCTTCTTTCTTTTTTTTTAAAAAAAATTGGCCTGTTTCACATGATAAGGATGGCAAAAATGTACAACGTAAGAAATTTGACACTTTATTTTCCTGAAAATTTTGGCGATGATGTGACAAGGATTTTTTATATCGGGCTTAAAGGAGAATGGACTGAGGTAAGAAAGAAATCACACGGGTTATGGATCATAGACATATTATTCTGAATCCTGAAGAAATGAAAAAGCAATTATAGATAAAGTTCTTGATGAAACAAGCTGTATGATTTTACGACTTACATACAAACTTTAAACATGTACAGATAAAGAGTGATCAGATCATAACCATATATGAGTCGACACCTAATCCTGCAGACCATAAAAATCCAGCTGAAGATGAAAAAATCCACCACACCATCAATTGAAATGGTGTTCTTAAATATGGAGAGCTTATTCAAAAGGTTATTCTAATCCTTGATGAAGACTATTATTTTGTTTCTGATCTATTAAAAAAAAGGATATTGGGATTATTATCTTTATATAGCTATGGATATTATTTGCAGACCCATTATTTATTTCATTTATATTGGTTTTCTCTTAAACCGTCAGCAGTTGGCGGGCAAATTTGGTTGCTAAAACATGAAAATTGTAGTATTTGATTTGACAATTATTATTTGTACACGGGTGATATCAAAACCAGCCGATATCTCAAAATTTCAATTATAAAACTACATTTCGGCTTCTAACAAAAGAAATTCTTTGCGAAATTTTGGTATAAACTATACCTCACCCAAATCCCAAACCCATACTTACCTTACCATAAGCAAGGGTTTAATGTTCGTTCGTTACGATTGGCATATTAATACCCACATTAGTGATCCGAAACCTTATCGGGTCCGTTCAACTACCCCAGTGGCACCGACAGACTTTCACTGATCGACATTTTTTTTAAAGTCATAAAACGATACATTAGGGTAAGGTTTATAATTATATCGATACTTGTGTTATACTAAAATTTTGCAAGGAATTTTTTTTACTAATGCGCAGAAGAGCAAAAACATTGTTCTTGATCCACCTGACTCATTTTTCTTGGGCACTCCTAAAATAAAAAATCACCACCGTTCTTGACCCCATGTTAAGTAATATAATCATCATATCTTTTATTAGCGTATCAAGTATTACCACAATAGTCATACATGTACTTATGTACAAACTCAAATTATGCATCAATGAAGTTTTACATTATAATATTAAAAGATAATTTAAGCAAACAAATGTTTTATAATGTAACTTAATTTTTATGTCTTATACAATTGAATTATATGTTTTTCCTTGGTTTTCTTAGCATCAAATTAAGTAAACAATTTTCTCTTATATTGCTTTGCATTTTTGTTTAATTGAATACTTCGTTCAAGACAAGCTTTTACAAATTTGAATCTTTTTCAATTTGTATGCTTTTCTGCAAAAAGATTTTTAAGTTTAGATCATATAATAACCTTCCTAGATGATTTCATATTAACACTATTTTGAGTGATTTGTTAAAAATTTATAATTAATACATTGCATAAATACTAAAATATATACCTAATATTATATACTCATTTTTTTTGAAATATTACACTTGCGATTATGAATTGCAGCTATTGTTCACTTTCGAATCGATAGTGTTGTTAGGTTTGTTTGTTTTACTAGATTAATTACTGAAGGTTCTAATTTAGCTGCTGATAATTCTATTTTATCATTAAGCAGTATTGGATCATTATCACTTAAATTCTAAAATTAAAATAAAATAAATGTTAAAAATATATAAAATAAATAATAATATACTTTACTCCTTTATCTATTGTATGTATAAAACAGTAAGATTTTTGTGGTTTTGTATTATGTATTTTAGAAATATCAGTATTTGACATTCTTTGAATAAACATTTCAATAATAAAACAAAATAGATCTGATTTAGTAAATTTACATTTATATAAATAAAAAATATCACTATCTTGTATTAAATAAATTCAAAAAATCTTATCAAATGCAATATTAATAGAGCTACTATAAACTATAAGATTTTTTTGCTCTGCTAACATTGCACACTTTTTATTATAAAAATGTAATACAAAATCATGTTTAACAATATCAAATATAGGTTTATTATTCTCAATATCATTAAATAGACATGCTGTATAAATATGTTTGTATATATCATGAAAAAATCTATTCTATATGAAATTGAGATATATGTATTCTCTAGTAAAGATATTAATCAAATAATAATCTTTATATTGTGTTACAAGATGTTTAGATGTAAGTTTATCAATTATTGGTCAAAGTAGTTCATATGATTTATTATTAATTCTAATTTTTTTTATTGTATATAGTGATCTAAACATGTTGTTTCTTTTTTTGTATAAAAATATATATTAGATCCTTTAACTGCAGGTTTGATCAAATAAAGAAAAACATAAAGTTGTCCTTAATTTAGTCATCACTTTACATCTGTTAATTGTTTGAATAATAGTGTTTGATGTTTTATAATTTGTAAATTCCAATATGTTATCTAACTAGTTTTAAATACAAACTATAAAGAAGTCTTCTTAATAATATTATTTTGTATTAAAATAATATTATATAACTTTTTAACAAACTAATTAATTGGCTAAGTACTCTTATATTGGTTTTTAATTAACTTATTCTTTATTCTGTAAGGTTATTAGTAGTTATAGGCTTGATATCTAGTATATTACCTAAAGATAACATTTATATATTATTAATAAAGCAATTATTTTATTTATCAGATAACCAATTTGAAACCAAATCATTATATAAATTTTTTTTGTAATTTTTGTAAATGATATAGATTAAATAAAAGACTAGGAAGTTTCTTTAAATATTATAACTTCTTTCTTACTTTTACTTTGATCTACAATTTTAAAAATAATAACAATTGAATACTAATAATAATTATCAATCTATAAGTTTTTAAAATGTTAACTAAACATTTGCATTAGATAAAACTAACATAAAATCACATTATAAATAATAAGTTGAAGTTCTTATTTTGTTGATTAGTATTTATCAATTATTGCAAATGGTTATTATAATTGTGCATATTGTTAGATTCTTATAAATTCTCTTTTATTTGCTAATTTCTGCATATTGATATTTATATATATAATTAATACTATTATATAAAATATTTTGTTAAACTGCTTTTACAACTAGTTTAATTATATGATTGTTTTTTTTATTTGATATTCCAAATTCAATTAGAGTTCTATAACCTATATTATTTTTAATAATAAAAGTTAAAACTAATGCTTTGTTATAATTTAAGTCATATTTGCTATTAATATTAAAATAAAAGAAACTAAAGTTATATATTTGTTAAAGTTATAGATTATTGCTTAAAGTAAGTTAATAGTAATAATTTAAATTATTTTTAGATATGTTTATATTTGACTATTAATAATATAGTATAGTACTTTTTTGTTTTAATATATTAATTACTAATTTATAAACAATTGTCTATAAATCTATTTGCTTTTATATATATAAACTATCTTATTTAATAAACAGATAAAGCTTAACATCATCATATATAGAATTCTAATTATTATATAATTCTTCAAGCTTATAATAAAGAACTATTATATAAAACAATAAGTTTTATTTTTATTTTTTTATTATATATTTATCTGCTTAATGGCTTGTAATTATAAAATTTTGTACTTTTTAACTTAAATTAATTTGAAATAAAATAGTTTGCTTTTAAATTACATTTTGTAGAACATAATTTTTCTTTATAATTATATATATTAAGAATTTTGTTTTAAGTTTGAAGAGTATCATTTTAGTAATAATTTGTATATTACATTTGTACATATTAAGATAGTTTTTAACATTATATTAATTTAAATAATAACTACAAGTTTTATTATATTGGCCAATTTTGCTATATAATCTTTGATAAATGCTTTCACTAAAGCAAAACCAAACTTATATTTATATTTGAAAATCATCTTCTTTTCTATTAGCATCAGCAAAATTATAGATGCGAAATATTTTGAAAGAATTTGCATAGCATAAAAATTTTGAAATAATTTGAAAGAAATTTCGAAATTTTTGCAAAACACAAAATATTTCAAAATATTGTGAAATAAATTTCAAAATTATTGCACTATAAAAAAATTTTCACAATATTGCGAAAAAATTTTTTGAAATTATTGCACAGTGAAAATATTTCAAAATATAGTAAAAGAATTTATCTAAATATATGGAGTGCAAATAAGATGAAATAAAATAAGAAATTATTTGAAGAACTCAAAAATATTTCGAAATATTTCAAAATAATTTTATTAAATATTTCAAAGTTCATTAAAATTAAAAAATAATAATAGAATAAATATTTAGTCATAATATAGTAAAATTAATTTTAAATAAAATTTTGGCTAATAGCAGAAAGTTTATTAATATAAATTATTTAATAG